AACCAGATTTCGCTAGTGGAAAAGAAAATGAAAAGGAAGTCTAGAGAATAAAAGAAATAGAAAATAGATAGAAAAAGACAATGATGTTGAATAATTCTTTGGGAATAAATCAGATTTCAATGACAAAATAATTTTGGAAAAACTTCTTTTCAAATTTCACTTCAAAACCGTAATGATCCTATGAAAGTAAGAAGAACAAGAGAAGCAATAATAGAAAGATCAAGAATATCTGTTTTACTAAAACAGCGGTTTCCTTTTGTGGTTTTGAAAGGAGAGAAGGTTTTGTGAGAGCAAGAATAAAAAATAATAAAACTTTACACGAGGTTAATTCAAAAAATGATTTCATTTTCCTTATTTTACCAAAATTGTAAACAAAAAATAATTAAAGATTTAAAATGAACAAAAAATAATTAAACATTTCAAACAACAATTTTTTTTTTGTTTGAAATCTTAAGCCCTTCATTCCGAACAGTCTTAATCCGCACTGTCCATATGGCATGGTCAACTATTCATATATAGTTGACCATGCAAAAGTATGTATATATAAATGTATATATATATATATATATATATATATATATATATATATATATATATATATATATATATATATATATATATATATATATATATATATATATATATATATATATATATATATATATATATATATATATATGTATGTATATATATATATATACTTTGCATGGTCAACTTTAACTTTTACCATAAAATGTAAACTTTATTTTTTATTTTTTTTTTAATTATTTAAAAGGCCGCATAGTGGGACCGCATTCTACATGGTACTATCTGCTGACTTGCTCGTATAAAATAGCTAAATTTTCAGACTTGATGAACAAAAATTCTTTAATAATAGGGAGGGGGGAGAGTATTGCACACCATTCGCCCCAGCCTTGGATGTACAGTGGCTTAAAGTGATACGTGAGGTCCTCTACCACTATTTATATTTAATTCTTAATATTCCTACTACTAGTTAATGTGTTAATGCCAAATAAATAAGTAATATCATATAAATTTATCTATATATTTAATTCAACAAAATATTTGTATTTGTTAAATCGTGTTTTGGTCTCCAAAAAAATTGGGGATTGATATTTAATAATGAAAATGACAAATTTAATCTAAATATGTTTAAAACTCAATGAATAAATGTCATCCTTACAAAACAAAGTTTATAAAGGATATTATATGTGGTGATAACACTCAATTTCAATAAAGTAATGAAGTAAAACATAAAAGTACTGAATATGGTACTCAAACAAGCTTTAATTAAGTTAAAGAAAAGCCATTAAATAGTATTTTGGAAAGGACTATTTAATTCACCTATATCAAATGATTTCGGATATTGACCAAAGTTTAAAAAATAAACATTATAGGGGAGACCGGGGCTAGTTGGCCGCAGGGGTAAGTTGACGAACTGCGTTTATCCTCAGAGCCTATCATCAGATATAAGATTATGTGTTTTTCGGACAAAAACGTATTTTTTGAAACATCGCTTCCTTTTTACTTTACAAAGAAAATAGTTAGTCAAATGAAAAAAAATATATTATAAAAGTTGCAGTCGCAATTGGTTTACTATATCTAGTCAGACTTTTTTTTCAAAGATGTCGTTTTTCAGGATCTATAGACTGTTTATAAAAAAAAGGCTTTTGGGACAAGTTAACAAAATTTTCACGGGTAAGGTTCATAGCATTCACTATGGAAAAAAAACGTATTTTTATAAAATTATTTTTACAATTTTTTTTTTTTTTTTTTAATTTTTAACAATGTTAAAAAATGTTATTCTTACAAAATTGAGAATAAATTTTTTTTTTTACTTTTTTTTTTCACAGAAAAAGTGGGCTATTGTTTTGGCTGTTATACGTACTAATACTTGGTACCAGCTAAAAGTAATATTGAATTTTTGGATTAAATTTGTTGCCAAAATTAATAGTAAAAAAATTTTATTTTAATTCTCTATGCTCTTGCATAGTTCAAACTCAAAATCATATTTAAACAAAAAGATTTGGTATAATATTTATTTACTTAGTCGTTCAAAGTTACCCCGCAAATGGGGTTACTTTGAATATGTTTTGCTGTAAAAGCAAAATATGTTCAAAAACACAATGCTTGGTTTTAAGATTTAATAAAAACAACACTCTAGGTTCATATTAGTTATCATTATGATAACTAATATGAACTCAAATAATATAGTATTATATAATAATATTTTACCTAAATGGTTTTTTTTTGTCTTAATGGGTATGTTTTAAGAAGACCTGCATAAAAAGAATCTTCATTCTTTAGTTTTTTATCTTCAGGAGTAGAAGACAACTCAGATGAAACAATAGTTTCACTAAGAAAAGAGGATGCATGTGGAACATCATTAAATGTCGCTTGAAAATCCTCTAACGAAATACTTTTACCAGGATCAATTGTAATTTTTTTTTTCGCTTTGGTTTTTCTTTTTCCTGGTCATCAACACAACGCAATCGCTTAAGTACATTAACTACAGCTTGGCTAACGTTGCTTTTAAAACTTTCAATATTTTTATCAGCATCTGGTAAACGGTTGAGGACAATACTTGCATTAAATGGTTAAATACCACATTTTTTAAAACCAGCTACTAAAGTGCTGCTTACCTCTTTTTTTTTCTTTTTTTTTTTTTTTAAGTTAAGGTGCCCCAAGAAGTCCTTACGGTCAGTCCTTATCACAGAGCACCGCGGAAGAGCATTTAATAGAAAGTTCACGCCTCCTTCCCAACCAAAACTTGCCCAGAGGTGGGGTTTGAACCGCGGATCTTACGTTTCTGAGGCAAGTGCACTATCACTGCGCCACGGCTGCTCAGATTTGGCGAATATATATATAATTTTTTTAATAAAGAAGGAAATTTGTCTTTTGTAATTATCTGTGTTTTCTTTCAACATGAAATTTTCCATTCATTGAGTATTTTTCTCCATTATTTTTTAAGTGGTATAAAAAATGCAACATCAAGTGGTTGCAGTAAATGGGTAGAGTTTTCAATTAAGCAAAAACAACAAGATGTTGTTTTCTTTAGCTAATTTAAGTACCTTTTTACTAAAGTGACTGCTAAGATTATCACCAATTAGAACTTTGGTTCCTGGAAGATGTTTTACAGATCTGACAAAAACTGTCTCAAAGTAATCAGAAAAATAAACAGAATCAAACCATCCTGACTTAATTCGATTTGAATCGTACATTAGGTAGTCCACCTTCAGTCCATGTTGTCCATACATGGTCCGCTTTATAAACAACATAAGCTGGGAGCGTTTGACCAAAGGCTGAACCACAAAACATATTGACGTAGCAGTTTTACTACTGTTCTGAATACGTTCAGGATATTTCACCCCTCTTTTAAAAATACATAGTTTAGTTCCAGGATTATCTGACAAAATTGTTTCATCATATTTAAAAACATTACAGGAAGGAATTTGTATTTCTTCATCATACTTCAAAGTAATTTTCAAATTATCAAAAAACTTATTAATTTCAGAACATGAAACTTATGCCCTACATTTTTTAATATTCTGACTCATTCGTAGAGTGAGATAAGGATTGTGACGCTTTAAAAAACTATCCTAAATTTAACAATAACTTTCCAGGAAAGTTATTGTTAAATTTAGGAACAACTCTGCCTTCAATATTCAAAATTGTCTTTCCTAAAATACGAAGATCCACGATATCAAAAGGAAAACCCCAAGCAGCAACAGCAATAACATGTTGCACAATTGCTAATTCCTGCATAGACGTAAAAACTGTGGGTTTTCCTGGTTTTTTTAGATTAAGTCTTTTAGCTTTATTATACAAAGTCCCAACCGGAATCCCACGAATATATGATGCTTTTCTGTACGACAAACCACTATTGATAGCTATCATAGCATTTGATACATGTTGTTCAGAATAATTTTTATACGGCCTGGAAACAATTTTTTTTTTTTTGTATAAACGTGGCATTGTACTATTATGATATACTAAAAGTAAATTTAAAGATAAATGCAACACAATTTAGAATGAAAACACAAATATTATATATGGTTGAAAATTTATTAGTAATTTCTCCAAAAAGTGTATATATACATATATTAGGGGGGTCAAAAGAAATTCTTTCTTGTTACAGGCTCTAAACATTGCTAATAGTTATTAATATTGATACTATCAAATATGAGAATGATTGTGATAGATTTAAAGGGCGCAACTTTATTGGGAAAATTACCGGTACCCTAATATTTTGGGAGAAAAAAAGTTTTTCAAAAGTAGGTCAACCTGGTACTCAAAAGAAGCAAAATTTTATAAAAAATTCGAACATAATAATCGTTTTATAAAAATCGTATTGCTAAAAAAAATTTAATAAAAAATATGTAGATATGCACCACTTTTTACTTTTAGTTAAAAAACTATAGTTATTATGCAATAAAATCTAAAATAATAATTTTTATATGAAAAAATTTGAAATTTTTATAAAATTTCGCTTTATTTGAGTACCTACATCACATAATTTTGAAAAACTTTTTTTTTGAAAAATAATACTAACTGCACATTAGGCAGGTCCGTTTTTAGGGGTCAGAAAAACTATAAATTTGCCACTTTATTTTCCTATTCTACGTTGATATACAAGACGATTCCAAAAAAAAAATTTTAAATATTTCAATTTTCCTGACCTCCCTGAGGGTTTAAATATTTTTAAAAAAGCCATTTTTGACCAATTATTCGTTAAATTGCTTTTTTAATTGGATCAAGGACCAACAAAACTTATAAATTTTTTTTTGAGTGAGCTGGGTCTACTATAAGGAAGGTTGGTACTAAATTTGAGCTCAAAATATTAAAAATTCTCGAGATAACACATTTTGAAATATAACCCGGTTTCTTTTAAAGACCTGGTTTTTACTATGTTTTTAATTGTATATTTATCTAAATACTCTTAAATATTGATTAAAGTTTTAAAATGCAAGTTTTATTAAACTCAATAAAACTTGCATTCTAAAAGTTTGTTTAATAAGGAATCCAAATATTGCACTTAATAAAGATAAAAAATAAAAGTTGTTAAAAATGTATGAGACTTAGACTAAAGGTTTTACAAATACGTTTTGTAAATAATATACATCAAAAATTCAGTTGAATTTTTCTTATAAAAAGTTAAACTTTTCTTACAATTTATTAAGTATTTCTTTGGACCAGTTACATTTATAAAATGGAAAATTAACTCTGTGTTCCTTTAAAACCAGTAAAATATCTTGTAACTTCTCCTCTTTAATTGTTGAATCGATAAAGTCTTTTACCAATTTAATAGCTCTTTCGCAACAGTCATTGACACAGACTAATCTTTTTATAAACCTTTGCATATTTTTATAATCAGAATCATAAGTCCACAAATCAGGTGAACTTTCTAACCACTTTGATAAGTAAGGAACTATTTTAAAAATTAGCCAAGAATTTTGACCAACGTAATCATTAAGTTCTGAATGTTCATTTGTTTCTACAGGCTTAAACTTTTTAAGTTTAAAGATTTCAGGTAAATTTATTTTTAACAACTGCTGAGCAACTTTTTCTTTAATTTTGTTGTCAAGACTTTTATCAAATAAACAAAAGACAACCGTTTCTTCAGAAAGATAATAACTGTGTCTAAGATAGCTTGAAATAAAAGCTTGAGAAACATCAGCATCAAAATCTTTTATTTTTATCATCTCTTTAACTGTACACAAATCATTATGAGCAGCAGAAACAATTTGACTTGATTGAAGAAAGTTTTTTGCATGAACTGAAGCTACATATATTGCAGCCTTTGAAAATACTATTTCTTCCTCTAGGGTTAAAAACTTTATGATTGGTTGAGTAAGCTTCATTGCCAAAATGTATAAAGCGTCTGCCATAAATCGAGCTTCATGTTCAGCAGCTGGTTTGTGTATAATAAATTCAGGAACTGCCTCCCTTCCTTCCAGAAAAACAATGACATATTGACACAGATATTTATAATCATTTCTGGGAAAAGTATTAAGTTCCAAAGCTTTTTTGCAAAAAGATAAACTTTTTTTAGCCATATCTTCTAATGGGGTTCCACTAACTTCGCACCACGGAAACTTTGATATCTGATCCATATTATTTTGAACATTTTTATAATGCATTGGCCAAGCAGCTTTGAATCTCGTATAAATAGATTTTGATGGACCTTTGCTTTCTGTTTTAGTGATTGCATTTATTGCATGTAAAATATGTCTTTCTTGTGAATGTTTTCTACAAAAAAGTCTTAACAGAGGTCGATTTAAAAATTCTTCTAAAATACTTATACAACCCTTATTACAACCAGTGTTACATGCTGTTGTGTCAGCACAAATCCCAATTATAATGCTTTCAATTCCAAACTTTTTTATAACATAAAAAAAATGCCAATGCTTGATCATATCCTTTCCCCGATTGACATTCAACTATGCCTAGCAGCTCATCCTGTTGTTTTCCATTTGTATTTAAATCCCAGTCTGGACTTGTAACAACAATAGCTAAACGTTCGCTTACTTCAGAAATATAGTCTTCATTTAAAGTTGTAACTTTTTTTGTATCAATGTGCAAAATTAAATTACTATTTTTACATTTTTCTTTTATTTTTTCCTTAATTAACTCTGATTCACTTACATACAAATCTTTTCTTATTTTTTCTACTTTTGTTTTTGAAAGTTTTACTTCATTAAGATTGATATTTCCACATCTTAAAAATAATGCTGATAATCCTGTCTGTACTCCAACAGAAATTCCAAAACGCCCACAAAATGTTGAAGTTTTTTTAATAAGTTCATCAATATCTACTGTTACTGTCACTTTATTTTGTTTTATGTTAGTTGATTGTTTTTCAATTTCATCATAATTATTATATTGATATTCTTCATTATCAAAATTTTCTAACAAAAATAAATCTTGATTTTCATTAAAACAATTACTATTTGATGAAAATTGTTTTAACTTTAAGATTTTTGTGGCAGATTCCTCCTTTTGCTCTAACTACTTGGCTTTCCTTTTGCAAAACTCTTTGTTGGAATAAACTTTTTGATATTTTTTGTCTATTTTGTCAATTATCATTGTTCTTGCAGTTTTTTTATCTTCATTAAAATAAAATATCGCATTTTTTTGCATCTTTTGATCGAATTCTATTATATTTTCAATTATTTCATAAAGTTTTGGGTGCCCTATGTCAAACAATTCTTTTTCTAATGCCAAAAAATTATTTTCATGCAGCTTTTGTGTTTCCGTTTTTTTTGAACGATATGATACTAGTTTCTTGTGATGATATATTAATTTGGTAACATTTTCCCTGAAATAATTTAATAACTTTTCATTTGTCATTTGTCAGCTTAAATTTTTATATCAATAATTATCAATAATTACATAATAAACTATAAACATTATTTAAATCAATAGTTACCTAATACTTCTGCAACTAATGTGTGGTATACCACCCATAAGCCACGGTTTTCTAAGAGCAGAAACAACACATTTGGGCTGACATATTTTATCATTACATAGTAGGTCGTGATTTATATTTAGAGGGCAGGAAATAATTTCGGTGTGTTTTTTTTTTTTTTTTTTTTGAAATTCAGTACTCTGCAGCAGTGATAAAAATATCTTAAAACGTCGCCTTTTGTAGGCAAAGTTCTGCAACCAATTTCGTGGGTTTGTTCTAATAAAAATATTTCAGTATTTGAACGTGTTGATATTGCCATTTTAAATTTAAAAAGTTACAAACGCAGCGCAGTTTCATAAAATTTATTATTGCGCGCTGTGATTATAACTCCGCATAGGTCCGGCGGTGCAAACTAAAAAAAAAAATTCTCTAAAAAATGTAATAAATATGAAATATTGAAACTCCTAGGGAGGACAGAGAATTTAAAATTTTCAAAAATTTTTTTAGGAAAAGTCTTTTATGGCAACATAGAATGGGAAAATAAATTGGCAAAGTTGTAGTTTTTTTAACCCCTAAAAACGGACCTGCCTACTGCACATCGTATATCAATTTTTAAACAAAATACTACTATATACTATACATTCATTATAAGAAGTTTATATGCAAAATAATTTAAAATTGTTACATGTTTCTAACAATTTAAGTTGTCGGATTATTTTGAATGTTATTCAAAGTTACCGAATGCGAAAAAATGTATACAATAAAATATTTTATGCTACACCCATGGACAATAACTAAAGCAGGCTAGGAAATTCCATTATTTTTTACATACTTAATAATTTTATAAACAAAAATTATATAACTTAGACAACAAGTTGCTAAACGAGCTGAGGCAGTCTACGAAGAATACTGGCTAATTTTTATAAGAAAAATATCTGAAATATTTAAATCATTTTTAAAGAAGCAATAAAACTAGTAAAACAAAGTAAAACTTTAAATAATCAAAATTTAATATATTTTTGATATTTTGATGCTTAAGTGTCGAACAGTTTCATATAAATACTTCTCATAATTACATCTAGAAAAAAAAATCAATCTGTGTTCAAAGTTACCCCGCAGTTCAAAGCAACCCCGGTTGACGGTAATTGTTCATTAATAATCATTTTTATAGTTTGCACCAACTTACTCCGTTATAGGGTAAGTTTTTTTTTTGTTTTTTTGAGGACCCGGGAAGACCCCAAGAATTTTTTTTTGTAAATTAATGCAATTTTTATTTAAATATTTTTTATTTAAATATTTTTATTTATTTAAATATTTTTTATTTAAATATTTTATTTAAATATTTTTATTTAAATATTTTTATTTAAATATTTTTTTTGTAAATTAATGCATTTTTTTTGTAAATTAATGCAAATTTTAAAAGTTACTTAAATTCATATTCTTACAGACTACACTTTTATATTTTCAACAAATGTGTTGTTAGGGCTACAGAGCTTTTTTTTTTTTTTTTTTTTTTAAGATGATTTAGGTGCACCAAGAAGTCCTTACGGTCTACAGAGATGATTTAGGTGCACTAAGAAGTCCTTACGATCTACAGAGCTCGTAGAGTAAAAACCGAGCCAACTAGCCCTAGTCTCCACTACTGGTCAAAAATTTCATATTTGTTAAGCAAATCGTAATTTCAAAATACATGTTAATGTAAACAACATACATCTTTGGTTTCAAAGAGCACTTAAAAAAATATGTCTACTGATACTTTTCTTAACTTTCTAAACTCTATTTCAGGTAAATCTATAACAAACTTTTCTATCATGACAAATTTGTAACAAAAGATTTTTTCTTAATAGCAATTTAATCAATTTTAATCAATTTTTGTATTTTAGGCCTATTTTCTGATTTTTTTTTGTGCATAATGCTCCAACGCCAAAATCCACAACAAACTTTCTTTGTTTATCAGTTAGATCTCTGAGGAAGGTTGTTGATCATTATTAAATCTGAAATATATGCCCAAACATTTTGCATAACAGGGTCGACGGAACCGGGGTGTCAGAGGGCACGTGCCCCCCTACTTTTTTCTAAAGGACCTTTTTTTTAAAAAAAAAAGAAAATTTTACATTTAGAAGAGTTTTTTTTAAATTGACGATTATACCCTTCTACTTCAAAAACCGTAAAGTCAGCCCTTCATTTTCCATAATGTGACAGTAAAATTAATAAAATCATCAGTCTTGTTAAAGTTTGAGATGTCAGAAATTTAATGGTGATTAAGAAGCGCATTGGAAGTATTATCAGAAAAAAACTGTTGTTTACAAAGTCCATTATTTTGTATGTTTTTGATAACGAGGACAAAAGTCAAACAATAAAAAAGTTCCTTCTGTAGTTAACCAGGTTCATAAAATATTAGATTTAGATTTTTATTACATATAATTGTCTTTGGTTTGCTATTTGACTCACTCACTGATTTTAGAGTTAAATGAATTTGATCACATAAAAATTAGGAATTTATTTGTTTATAGGTTTTCATAACATTTTCAAAAGAAATTTAGGACCATCAAACATACAACTCGCATTACAAGTTATCATAACATCTAAAACACTTTTTGAAAAGGAACTCATACCATTATTTTTCCAAAAACCTCGTGATACAATAACATTTTGTAACATACACCTTGTCAAAGAGAATAATAGTTTCTAGTAGAAATTTTCAAAATAAAAAAAAGGAATTGAAAGTTCCCAGCTATCACAAAATATTTAACAAAAGTTGCGAACGTTTATTAAACGTTTATTGAACGTTCATAGAACTTTCTTGAACGTTCGCGATGTTCGTCAAACTTACTTGAACGATTTGTGTATGCTGGATTCCTAGCAATTTTAAAATAAACTAAAACTTTATCTGTGATGAAAATTATGTAAAATGTTACTTTTGTTTAACCTTTTTGAAGTTTTGATGCCCACCTGATCATACACTAAAGTGTTGCTTGACGTTTTAAAACTCCTATATTGATTGTATGAGTACATGCTATGATATCAAAGAGACTATAGAGGTCATAAATTATTTTATTCGTTGCTTCTTTGGATGGTTTTGCATTTTTTTAAAACTTGGATATTTTAATCCATAGTCTGGTGGTTTAAACTGATTATTTACTTTGAACCATTGAGCTGTCACAAGTTTAGCAAGTTTTCTGCTTAGTTTTTTTTAGGTAAACATTCTATCCAACGTGTTTCCTTCTTTTTGTCTCTGGGCAAACATTCTATCGAACGCGTTTCTTTCTTTTTGTCTCTGGGAAATTTGTAAATTATTTAAAGCAGGGCAAAATTTTATGAATTTGGGATTGTTTTTTATGACTTTTTAGGACAAATTAGTGTGAAAATTAGAACATTTTAAGACAATCTAAAATCATAAATAAGTTTCGGGATTTAATTTTTTAAATTAAAGCTTGGGAATTATTAACCCTTTAATTTAAATTATTATTAATATATCATTTATCTTTTAATACCATTGGAAATTGTTTACGTTTATTTAAAGTAGACAACTAACAAAATACAATTCAAACTTCAATATCAAATAAGTTGTCCATAAATATTAAAAAAACAAAATAAACTTTTTTTTATCGACTTTATGATAAAGACAACATTCCCTTAAAATTTCCTAAGATTTTTATTAATAACTCATGTCAAAAGAGAGCGTTCTTTGTTGTTTCTAGGTGTAGTTTTGGATGAAAATGTAACGTGGAAGGAGCACATACGTTTAATCCAAAATAAAATCTCAAAAAATATTGGTCTTTTATACAAAGCCAAACTGTTCTTAATCAAAAATTGATTGAAATTCATTTACTTTTCTTCTATTCATTGCTATCTAAATTACGCCAAAGTTGTTTGGTGCAGCACTAATGTATTTAAAAATAAAAAGCTTCTAAATAAACAAAAACACGCCGTAAGAATTATTGGAAATGTGGTTGCTTCTTGCACATTAAAATTCTTTTTAATAAATTCGAAATGTAATTCAACTTAATATATATCATATTCTTATATTTATGTTCAAAGTAGATAATAAGATGGCACCCATTTTATTCAACTCATTTTTGAAAAAATAAGTCATTTATACCCAACAAGATTTTTAAATAAAATTTATATTCCACCGAAAACATATTATTCTGCAACTAAGTTCTCAATTGCAGTTAGAGGACCTAAATTATGGAACACGCTATCAGATTTACCTCCTTATATTAGATAAGGAGTTAAATTTCTTTCCTTGGTCAATTTAAAAATAAAATAAAAAATACTCTTTTGAGAATTGACAACGAGCGGGAACTTCTTTTGAAACTTCTAAATTTGAGTAATTATTTGTTTTTTACTTGTTATATTTACTTTATTTTTGATCATTTAATTTATTTTTGATCATTTGCTTTATTTTTGATCATATTTATTTTCGATTTTAATCTTTACTTCCGCCGTTACAAAATTATATTTGTAGTATATTTCAAACATCTATTATCGCTTAGCAAAAACAAAACAATCAAGGTCAAGGCAAAAATTTTCAAAGCCAAGACCAAGGCCAAGGCTAACAGTTTCAAGGCCAAGACCAGGGCCATGGCCTGAATTTTTGGCTATAAGACAAGGCCTTTAGCCAAGGCCAAGGACTCACAACTCTGGTCTGGCAAAACTTACATATTTTAACATCAGGTGCTAACAAATTGCACTGTTTCAGTCGGGATCAAAAGAGCTCTGTCTGTCCTTTTGTTAAATAGAGATCACATATACGATCTGAAAACTCTGCATTATTTACTAAATGAATTAGATCACTTTCAGAAATGTAAGCTCAATATTGCAAAATGATGCTGCCTCTGTGCGTATACTGATTGCATGAGTACATGCTATGATATCAAAGAGACTATCGAGGTCATAAATTATTTTATTGGTTGCTTCTTTTGGATAATTTTGCGTTTTTTAAAATCTTGCATATTTTAATCCATAGTCTCTCTATTTTTTTCGCGAGTGATATTTCAGAAATTGTAATTGGTGGCTTGCAACCATTGAGCTGTCTTTTGTAACAAAATTATGTTTTCTACATTCAAACTCTATTTCTTTTCTTTCTCAAAAAGTAGATATAGATTTTGTTATTTTTCACAAATAATTTATGTAAAGTGATTATTTATTTTTAATATAATCACTTTTAAAACATTTTTTTTAGCTCCAAAACAAATTAAAAGCTAATCATTAGAAGAATTCTAATTTGAATTACTGATTTTTTTTGGGTACCTCTTACAAAACAAGCTATTTACTTTTTCCAACAAAATTAGACTTTAGTTGCTAAATTATGTCTAGTTTTCACATTCAATGTATAACCACTCATAATCAGTACTTTCAGAGCCGGTCCTAGGGGGGTGCAAAAGTGTACGTGTTTGTGTACG